GCGCTGCATGAGAAACAACCGGAGCTGCAGATAAGTGAGCGAGACATGCTCTGTGTTCAGATTGCGGGGCTTTGTCATGATCTCGGTAAGCTGTGCTAAGAGCCAATGTGGCTATCTAAAACGGTAGCATTTCTATTTTTCTCTTTCTCTGAGAACTACGGCAAGTTCTGTTTTTAATTTTTTAACATCAATATAAATCTTCCTTCGCTTCTTCCTAGAAGTATAAAACCCCGAAACCTCATCTGCTGCTGTCAAGCCCATTCTAACCCTAACGACCCTCTAGAATAGGCTAGCTAGGCTAGAGCTGCCCCGGAGGGTTTCCAAAGCTGTCAGTATTCAGGGAGGGAGCCTCCCGCACGTGTATTTCTCCAGTCATCAACCCGAAGCATTTCTGTTGCATTTTCTTGCAGCCTTCGGTGATTTTTCCATGTAAAACATCTTTGCTACTGGTGACAGGAAAGGACTTTGGAATAATTTGAATAATGAGGTTTTCTACAAGTGTGGCTTTTGCAACCCTCTGTTGAGGATACTTCTCTGTCAGTTTGGCACCCTGTTTGTGTTTGCGTGTCCCTGTGATGCCTGAAAAGTATGTATGCCGCTGGTATTTCAAATGCCAGCAAGCTCACCTGGGGTCGACAGGTTTCAGCAGCGCTTCCAGACTGAGACAGGCTAGGAAAAAGGAACAGCCAGTCTACTTCTGAAAGAGTAGCCACTGAAGTCTTAGCAATCACAATGGAGCATTGTCTGATGTAGCTCCAGCACTGAAGACACTCAGATTACGACTGGGGACAAGTCCCCTCAAAGCAGTCGACCTTCCTGAGAGGCAGCGAGTGAAGCTTCCAGGACCTTTGTTTTCTGACTGGCATAATTCAAAATGAGAAGAAACAGCCAAAAACATGCATCAATAATCAGAACGGGGACTACATGAAGTGTTCATCTGGGAAAACTGGAAGTTGTCAAAAATGAGATGAGATCCAAAAGGATTGATGTCCTAGGCATTAGTGGTCTAAAATGGACTGGAGTTGGTCGTTTTGAGCTGCACAACCATATGATCGACCACACAGGGAATGACAATTGAAGTGGGGTGGCCTCCCATTCGTTGTCAAAAAGAACATTCCAAAATCGACCTGGGGTGCATTGCTGTCAGCAAAATGGTAAAATCCATACACCTATAAGGAATACAACTTCATAGGATAATTCCTGATGATTGGAATGAAAAGTTGTCAGTGGCATATCAGACAAGGGACTGCTCTCTCAAATTTGAAGAAAACTTTGACACCTAACAAGAAGAAGGCAAATAAGCCAATTTAAAAATGGGCAGAGGACATGAACAGACACTTCACCAAGGAAGACCTTCAAGCGGCCAGCAAACAGATCAAGAATGCTCATAATGGTTAGCAAATATCACGATCGTTGCATAGCACTCGATATGCAAATCAAAATAACAATGAGCTGTCCCTTCACCCCAGCATTAATAGCCAAAGCTCAGGAATCCGCAACAGCAACAGCAACAAATGTTGTGGAGAATATGGAACGAATAGAACCCCGACACACTGCTCGTGGAGCTGTGGTGTGTGCTGTCAGCACCATGAGGCATTTCCTCAAAAAAAAATTGGGACTAAAAATAACCATATGAAGCAGCCATCCTTGCACATGGTACATATCCTGGAGAAATAAAAGCCGCAATATGAATAGATAGGTACACACCCATGTTCATCACACCACTTTTTACAATGGCAAAAACATGGAAACCACCTAATGCCCATCAGTGGGAGGATGGATAGACTTTGGCACATACACACAATGGAATCGCAATGAGTCTGCTCAACATCACTTAACATGGGTGGATCTGGTGGACCTGCTGAGTGAAATCAGTTGATCACAAAAAGGTAAGTATTGCCTGAGAGCACTATTATAAAAAGTCAAGGAAATGTTCACGCTAAAAGAAGTCGTCTTCGATGGTGTTTAGGGAGGGAGGAGAGGAAAGGGGGGACTCTGTGGCCCAGAGAGTAGACATGCATTAACTTGGGTGAAGGGGGAAGAAGTCAACCATAGGAGGGAGGTTGGCAAACTTCATAAAAGCAGGGGCACTCTGCAGGAGGTTTGCAAGAGTCCGTGGCCACAGAGGCAAATACTGTTATTGACATAACCCTGCAATATGGTGACCGATCTACAAATAGATGCTGGGGACAACACACAGCCTGAACAGCTGTGGGAGGGACAGTGTTACGGAAAGAAGAGGTCCAAGGGGCACTGGCAACTAAAACCCCACAAGACAAGGCTCTAGAAATGGAGGAACTACCAATTGAAATGGTTCAACACGCCGATGCAACACTGGGGGGTGCTCATTTGCAAGAAACTTGGAAGACAGCTACCTGGCCAGCTGACTGAAAGAGATCCGCAGTTGAGCCCATTTCAAAGAAAGACGCCCCAACAGGATGTGGAAATTATCAAATGCTATCATTACTATTACACACAAGTAAAATGTTGCTGAACATAATTCAACCATTATAGCAGCATTACATTGACAGGGAGTTGCCGGAAATTAAACCAGATGCAGAAGAGAGTGCAGAACATAGGATATCATTGCTGATGCCAGATAGATTTTGACTGGAAGCACAGCATTCAGAAAGATGTGCACCTGTGTTTCTTTGAATATGCAAAAGCATTCACTTGTGTGGATCATAACAAGTTTTTTTTTTTAATTTTCCCTAATTGATCATGTGAAGAATGGGAATTGCCAAACACGTTATTGTGTTCATATGCATAGACCAAGAGGAAGTCATTTGAGCAAAAGACGCTGAGTGGTTTAAAATGGTGTACTCCGGGCTGTAGCCTTCCACCAGACTGATTCAGTCTGTATGCTCAGCAAATAATATTAAGAAACAAAGCAAAAAACTGGCAGCAGGAAGAGTCCTTAGCCCATGAATGCCCAAATTAATTGTTTTGTCTTATTGTTACATGAATTTCATTGACGACTCCTTAAAATAACTAATTAACCCAGAATATCAATGAGAAATCCATGGTCATAATACAGTTCAGAAAGGTTTAATTAATATGAACATTCAGGGTTTTTTTCTCCCTAAGAATTCGTAAACATTTGCAGTAAGCTTGAATGAAAATGCTCAGTTAAGAACTGAGGACAGTGGTGTAAATGGGTTAATCCTGGCAATGTGCAAGATGACATCAGCGCTTTGTGTGGGAAAGGAAAGGGCACTTGAAGCACTTCCTGAGAAAGAGCAAAGACTGCAGTGTTTGTGAAAAAACAAAGGTCCTCACAGTAAATAGCATCATGGTAAAGGAAGAAAGGATTTAAGTCATCAGGATTTTCTTTTACTTGGCTCCACCATCAGTGCGTCCAGAAGCAGCAGTCGGGAAATAAAGCGATGTGTATCGTGGGCCAATCTGCTGCACAAGACCTCTTGAAAATGTTGAAATGCAAGGAGGTTACTTTGAGGTCTACGGTGCAATCACCCCGTTACCCAGAATGGTATTTTCAATGGCCTCACATGCGTGCGAGGCAGGCACCATGAATAAGGAAGACAGGAGAAGGACTGACGCCTCGGAATGACGGTGTTGGCGAAGAATATTGCCCCAACCATGGGCTGACAGAATGAGCTCGTCTGGCTGGGAAGAAGGCAGCAAGAATACACCCTTAGAAGCCAGGATGTGTACTACGGTCATGTGATCGGAAGAGATCAGTCTCCTGGAGAAGGACATCACTCTTAGAAAACTAGAGCGTGAGCCAAAAACAAAGAGGAGGAAGACCCTCGGGGAGAGATGGTCTGACAGTGCGGGGGCAGCAAGGGGCGCAGACACAGGAGGGGGGACGGCGTTTCCTTCTGCTGTGCCGAGGGTGGCCATGAGTTAGACCTGATTTGACGTCTAAGCACCTGTGTAGGATGGTGTGAATTTCATTTTCTTTGATCCTCCAGGTGAGATGCAATAGGCGCTCCGGTGATGGGGAGGGGGGGTGTCCTGCTAACCACCAGGTCCAAAGTTGGAACCCTCCAGCCACTCCACAGGAGAAAGATGAGGCTTTCCTCGCCCCTGGACAGTGACACCATCTCGGACACCCCTAGTGTTGTATGTTGGCGAGACAGGAATGACTCAACTCAAAAAGTCAATGCAATAGAAGTTTATTGCATGCCTGCGCAGGGACCAGCTCTCTTGGCATGAGAGCTGCCCCGAACCGTATGAGCAATATTCTTTTATACCTTTATACAAGGAAGCAATCTTTAGCTGTGCAAGCAAGCGGATACCGAAGCAAATTTTTGTGGTTAGCCTTGAGCCTTTCATCTGCAAGTGTCTGCTTGTGGTCAGTGTAAGGTAGTCGAGAGGTGCCAGAAACCAAATCAGCTGAATTAGAACAAACCAAATCAGCTGAATTATTGGGGAGAAAACCCCAGCCTGGGCGAAGTCTCATGGTCCACAGTGTCTGGAGAGGGAGTCGCGCCCCAAGCTACAAGGGTGGTGCTTATATGGCCAGGGAACATGTGACTGGGCTGTCTTGAGTCCATATAAGGTAAAGTGGTCAGGGATTGGGAGATACAGGTATGTCCGGGTTTCTGGAATGTAAGGTGTCTTCCTGGTTCCGGGTGTATTCTTGCCGGGTGCAGAGCAGCGGGTCAAGAATAAAGCGGGCCATTAGTCAGTTCTGGTCAGCTCCGCAGGTGTGTGTGGTAGATTCAAGGTCACTTGCTGCTAGAAGCCGGCCTGGTCTTGATCCAGTCATACAGTCAGCTTATTCTTTAACCCTTCCTCTGCAAGGGTGTTTGTGGTCAACTTATCCTTTAACCCTTTCTCTGCAAGGGTCTGTTTGTGGTCAGCTTATTCTTTAACCCTTTCTCTGCAAGGGTCTGTTTGTGGTCAGCTTATTCTTTAACCCTTCCTCCTTGTTTTTCCCTGAACCTTATCAGGATTGAGCAACTGTCATATCCCGTATCCCACCCCCGAGTTCTTTTGAGAACTAGATTATGCCTGCTCCTGCTTCTCTGAATACAGAATGGCTTCTCTTGGGCTCTGTTCCACATTAGGTCACTTCCGCTCTGCCCTTCACCGTCACCGTGAGTCAGTGTGAGAGTGGAATAAAAATGCCGTTTTCCACTTAATCACTCTGTCAAACCAGAGCCTTTTCTTTGTACTTGGACTACGTAGTCCAATTTCAGAAATGCACATATGAAGAGAATAACTTCTTCCTGGATCCGGGTGAGGTCCCGTCTCGGTTCACTTGAATACAAGAGTAAGAAGATCATTTCCTTCCTCTGACCAGAACAGATGACCCATGTTCTTTCAGCACCTCCCGTCCGGATTGTGCTAAACTCTGTTC